AAAGCACGTGTGAGGCGCCAGAGGCGGTGTCACAGGTGTGACATTTGTGATTTGAGCTCTCTAGAACCCGGCGAATTTGTTTGCTACGCCAGCTACTGTGTTGCATTTACTTAATATAATTAATTGTTCAAGTTTGATTCTTCTGAAACTTGACATGCTTTCTTCCTCTGAACTTCTGAAGGTGAAGGATACCAGTCAGACTGTCAGAGGCTCAGAGCCTGTCTACAGGCCGCTGGCGTCGGGCTACGGCAAAACCAGCACTCACTATGGCCGCGTATGGCGTACCTACTAACTTAACATTAGACAGCGTCTGTCAACAACAACAACAAGAGTTTCAAGGATCAATGGACAAAAAATTTAAAAATTTTCATAATAAACTAGGTACTTAGTAAAGTAAAGTCATGTTCTAAATCGATAAATGCCTAAAAATTATTAAAAATTCATGTTTCTGCATGGATTTAGATGCTGGCATGCTGCTAACCTTATTTATTTACATAGAGAAACTTTAAAGTACCTATCTCTCATCATATACAATTGTATTAAATAATTTATGATTTTGGCCTAGGATATATTCATTGCTTGAAACTGCTTTTAGAATCAATCAGTCCAATCAGTCTGATGCTCTCAAGCCTCTCATTTGCTCTGATCAAATGTATCATGTACAAAAGTCTATTGACATTGATTGGATGATTGCTACTGTAAAAAAGTAGTCATAGTGGCAATAGAGAACATTTTTTTTCTAGGGAAAAGATACAATTTCTGAATAAAAAATTAAGCCTATGCATTGCAGAACAAATTTATAGGGTAAACGCGGCATATTCCGACATCGTGGGTAATTCTGTCACCTCTCCAGCTTTTCCTTTATATTAAGCTTTGTTTTAGTTCCATGCGTTTGTTGATGGTTTAAATGGTGACGTCATGGTGGGCTTGGTGGCAAACAAATTTTTTGCCCGACTCATTTTTAGATACGTTCATAACTTCATAATTCACGTTCACTTTTTGCTATTTTACTACACTCATACACTGGGCCCGATATGGCATGTATTAAGTATTTTCAAATTTGTTTTTGAATGTTCTACTTTTGATTTGATTAATGTTTTGTATCACAGTTTCACAATGGTAACCGCAATGGCTTCCGATTGCTGTTGCCACAACGAGATCGAGAAGTAAACAATACCCCCGTTCCAGGGAATACCAGCTGTTACATGTTCGATTGGGATTTAGTCACTATATTAAGGTAAACGAGTTTGATCAAATTTTGGTTATCTCAAATTTTAGCAATTATTTTCAGATGACAAGACAATTTTTACAGACAACCTTATATATTTTGTCTAAACTATAAACTAGATACAGGCTTGTTAATCATAAAATAGCTTACTATATTACTTACGAAATTGACACTCATTTAGTTGAGGTCAAATTTGCTATCATGGTCATACATAACTTACGGAAACAAAAGACTAATGATATGCAAACAACGGCACAGCTCATTTAGACCTGTCTCTTATACACATCTAGATGTGTATAAGAGACAGCTTGATGCCTCTGTACCAAAAACATTCAATTTATTGGAACCTAATACACACTAAAGGCAACAAGTTTATATACCAATTTGTCATTCATAGTACATTTATACTAAACCATGAATAACAATACCTCAATATAAATTAAAGACCACCACTCAATATATTTATATATATGAAAAAATCAAATAAATCAAAAAAATCGAAAAAATAAAAAAAATCATGATTTTTTTATAAAAAAATCAAGTGATTTAATCACATGATTTAATCATTTTGATTTAATCATTGCCAACCCTGCCTTAATGTGTCGGAATATACCGCGTTTACCCTATACGTGTACGCCAATGCGGCCAATGTAAATGTTCAACAATCAAAATACAACTCATTGAACATTTGAACTTGGTTTTCAATGAAATTTTGAAAATACAAAAAAATCAGTTTAGTTTTTATGCACCTCTGACTTGTTCGCCAGGGTGCAGAGGATGCAAGCACTTCCAACGTGCCAAGCAGCATTGCCAATATATGGGTTCATTAGCTAAAAGCATCACCAAGTTACCAACCATTTTCAAAATTATTGCCGGATAATTTTTAACAAAAAGCCATTTAAGCCAGGTAATGAAAACCCATTTACAAGCGACAAACTTATTTACAAGGTCACATGCATGTATTATCCCAAATAACTAATTTAACAGTTTGATTGTACAGCAACACTAACATTTATCTTCACATAAGTGTCATTTGAACATGTGATAATGCAGTCTGACCACTCTGATGTGACCGATGTTGCAACTACTTGTTGACTGATGTTGTTTATGTATTGCAGTATTTTTTGGCAGGAACTGATTGCAACTGCTTTCTGAACAAGCTTCCCTGCATCCTGATTGGGAAACCTTACTTTTTTCTAAATAGTTGGCCTAAGACTGGCGAATACCGTCAACCGGGGCTACTCGGGACAGATTTGATCTTTTTTTTGTTAATAACTGTTAATATCTTCCTACGATGAAACATTTCATAAACAAATTTAGGCTCATTTTATAGCTCTTTGCGAGGGCTATTGAATGGCATTGTCAAAAAATTCCATATGATATTCGTAAGGTGCCAGACGCAAAATAAAGATTGTCCTGAGTAGCCCCGTCGGTCGGGGCTACTCTGGACAATGGAAATAAAACTTCATTTCAAGACATTTGAAGCATGCAGAGCGTACTCATCCATTACTAACAGTACTCTGAAGTCCTCCTCTTTCATTGTAGATGATGTAGAGGTAGAATAAATGACATTTTCTGTGATTTTTACTTGTTTTTACATTATTTACCATATACATTAATTACCGTATTATTGACGTGCAATTATCATATTATTGATACGATATTACTGTATCCATGAACATGCCATTGAGCATTTACAACAGCCTTGTCCACTGCAAGCTTCATATCAGCAGCCTTATAGCATTTTTTTGTATCTGTAAGCTTACAGGATGGCTCGTAATTTCACATTTTAATTGGGTTAAGTGAATTTACTATGGTAAAAAAGATTGTGAAAAACATACCTGAAACAGAAAGAAATGTTTCAGTGACAACCAACGTATCTTTTGGAGAAATAAATCATAGTTTAGGTCAATTACCGTCAACCGGGGCTACTCGGGACGGTTTTGCGCGTTTTTTGTTAATAACTTCTTACGATGAAACATTTCATAAACAAGTTTAGGCTCATTTTATAGCTCTTTGCGAGGGCTATCGAATGGCATCTTCAAAAAAATTCCATATGCTATTCGTAAGGTGCCAGAAGCAAAAAAATAGTGTCCTGAGTAGCCCCGTCGAACGGGGCTACTCGGGACACTGGGAATGAAACTTCATTTTAAAACACTTGAAGCATGCAGAGCATACTCGTCCATTACTAACAGTACTCTGAATTCCGCCTATTTCATTGTAGATGATGTAGAGGTAGAATAAATGACATTTTCTGTGATTTTTACTTGTTTTTCCTTTATTGATATGATATTGCCATATACATTAATTAACCGTACTGTATTATTGATGTGCAATTATCGTATTATTGATGTGATATTACAGTATCCATGAACATGCCATTGAGCATTTACAACAACCTTGTCCACTGCAAGCTTCGTATCAGCAGCCTTATAGAATTTTTTTCGTATCTGTAAGGCTGTAAGCTTACAGGACGGCTCGTAATTTCACATCATTTTAATTGGGTTAAGTGAATTTACTATAGTAAAAAAGATCGTGAAAAACATAGGTACCTGAAACAGAAAGGAATATTTTAGTGACAACCAACGTATCTTTTGGAGAAATAAATCGTAGTTTAGGTCAATTACTTTTCATTCTATGATGCCTGGTGCACAATTCTATANTTTTTCAGGAATTTTTCAAAGCAAGTAAATGTAGTATTTTTCGACTTCCTTTATACTACATAGATAGGAAAAATGTTGACGTTTATGCCACTATTTTTAGTTTTGCAATATTCCAATTAGTTTTGCTACTACAACAGTTTTACGCCGTGTCGGAGGCCTGTCCTGAGTAGCCCCGCTCGTCCCGAGTAGCCCCGCTTAACGGTACCTTAAATGCAATACGGTAATTTCAATCCAAATATCTTGGCAAGATCTTCTGAAGGCGTGAATTTAGCTGCAGAAGCGTCGTCAAAGATCTTGCAATATTCACCCACTCTCTGCACAGTGGTAAATCGTACTCTAGTGGATCCAAGGCATACGCCAGATGCCAGTGTAAGTCTGGGAGGGCTTGCAGTGACAACCACACATGGAGCAAGTTCAGAACTTACAGCTGGCAACAAAGAGCAACTGTTTACCTACAACACGCATGGAGCTATGTTCAGTTGCATAACGTTCAGTTCAGATTTAAATTACTTTCACTCATACAAGAAAGAAATAACTCATGTGTTTGCTGTAGCAAAGACTTTCATTTGCTTTCTATCCAGATTTCACCTATGGATTTTGCTTTCAATTTAATTCCTCAAAATTCTATACTGCATTGAGCAAAGGTTATATGCCATTGCTACTTGGTCTGGCACAACAACCAGCTACCATGTTTACCATACATTACCTTTCCTGAAATGTTTGTTCTATAAAAGGTGCAGATATGATATCGGATTAAAAGCCTGAAACTAGATTTGCCCTATATTAGCTACATTATATTTTGTAACTGAGCGGAGTTACCAGGCTTGATCAATTTTGAATATATGAACTAAATTTCCCAGCATTCCACACAGTCACTCATATTATGATGCACACTGATTGCAGAACTATTGCTAGCAAGCTACAAGGTGGAATTTAGGAGGAATAAAATATGAACTCTTACACATGTCTTATTGCATTGAAATGTCTAGGACTGGAAATTCCTGAAATATAATTTGAATACACTGGATTTTTCAAAAATACAGTGTAAAGTATTTATACTTGAAAGTTTTATTTGCACACATTTTCTTTAACTTTTGATTCTACTTGTTTATGAACTTCCTTTGTTTCAGATTATTTTTCTTACTCTGACTATTGCTACTTACAATGCCAAAAGTACGCCGTACAAGAAAGAAGCGTCCAGATGGCTGGGAGTTAATTGAACCAACACTGGAAGAATTGGATCAAAAAATGAAAGAGGGTAAGCAATGACCTCATATTTTTCTCAATTTACATGTTATGATTTTGCATTTCAAAGTTTGTACTACTGGCTTCAAGGAATCACTGTTAAACCCTTTACAGTCTCATAAAAATAAGATGGATAAAAAAATTATACCTATGTTTTTTTACCACTCAAATTTTTTCTTTCCAGCTGAGCGTGAGAGTCATGAAGGGAAGCGTCAAGTTGAAGCTCTCTGGCCAATATTCCGAATTCACCATCAGCGCTCCCGTTACATCTATGATTTGTATTACAGAAGAAAGGTTGTGCAAATTTAATGCTGGTTCTGTTAGAGATACCTAGAAAACTAATCACATTTGTCCCCCAAAAATGTTGCTGTTTTTCTAGCTGTATCATATTACTCTCATTTGGTCATCAGCCATTTTAACATTTTCATTATGTTTTTCCTGTATGATAAATGGAGGAATGCATTTTTCTTTCTGCAAGTTTTATGTCCAAATGGTGTCTGTGTTTATTTATCTAATATAGGTAATAATAGGGATATGTACACAGTAGGTATAGCTATATTCATCTAAATGTACCATTTTTATAGTTCCTACGGTATATTTTACTATGTTTCTAAGCACCTTCTGCTTAATTGTGTGTGAGCTTCAAAATTATAAAATTTAGTACAGCTCTATTATTAAATCATCAATCAAATATATGTGTGTGCTAATACAGTGCTATTTACAGGCCATTTCCCGGGAGCTGTATGACTACTGTCTCAAGGAGCGCATAGCTGACCAGAACCTCATTGCCAAATGGAGAAAGCAAGGCTATGAGAACCTCTGCTGTCTCCGCTGCATCCAGGCCCGTGACACAAATTTTGGCACTAACTGCGTCTGCAGGGTTCCTAAGAGCAAGCTAGAGGAGGTAGGTCGATGTCTGTCAAATATTAGAATAGATTTGAATAGGCATAGTGCTAGTCTCTAGTGACATTTAATTGCCTATTTTAGAAGCCTGGCTGGAATTCATCATTGACATTCTCAAATGTGTATTTTGTGGCCCATTCCTTAAACTTTGCCTCACGTTTTCGTTGTTGAACTAGCTAAGGTGTTTATTCAAGTGCTTTGAATAATGCAAAATTTTCGTAGGCAGGTGTATTGAAGGTGAGAAGTTCTTACATTTGGGAGTACTAATAATTCCCAAGGACCCAAAATTTATCATTTCAAATAATTTCCATTAAAATAATGTATCATCCCACTACTTGCCTTCCTTATTTCATTATATGAATGTAGATTATTTAAAAGATAGGTAAATGTTATCAACTCAGCTCGTGATTAAATTTCTCCCAAAAAGCTACTACTGAAACAACCTTATTGGTAAGAAGCCCTTTCTTTCTATTTTGTTGAACTATCTGAAAAATGCAACATGGGCTATAAAGTTATGCTTCAAGAGATACCTAACCATTTGAATTTCAAATGATTCTCAAGTTTATAGTAAATAAAGTAAGTACTATCCAATTTGTTGAATGATGCAGACAGTTTCTTTACTTTGATGTTGGAAGGAAACACTATGGCGTAAATTAGCTCTTGACTGAAAAGAAGAGCAAAATTATCTGTGAAATTGATGCTAATATAGGTATATTTAATCGGGTCTACCATGATTCCCTTATGTGTCTTTTTATCCACCTTTAGAGACTAAAGTACGTAATTTTGTCCTTGAATTTACTTCAAATTAATATTTGGTACTAAGCCATACATAGAATCCAAATACAGTGGGGGGAAATAAATATTCGTACACTTGAAGAATCGTATTTTAATGTATGTAAGTACACAAACTTAACAGGAAAAGTGATTTAAATTATGTATAGAGACGCATAGTATTCAAAAATACTATCAAAAGAAATTAAATCTCAATGCAACAAAAAACAATGCAACATGTTCACTTTTCGGGTGAAAAAAGTATTCGTACAAAACAATAAATCCGCATTAGTTTAATTTAATACTTGGTTGAATACCCTTTATTCAGCTCAACAGATACCAGTCTATTTCTATACGTCTCTTTGTGTACTTACATACATTAAAATACGATTTTTCAAGTGTACGAATATTTATTTCCCCCCACTGTATAGGTACATCTAATTTCGAAGTGTTGGTGCATCTTCCACTCTTTGAATTCATTTTAAACCCAGTTGTTGATTACAGGGCAAGATAGTGGAATGTGTCCACTGTGGGTGCCGTGGATGCTCTGGTTGACACGCATCTCTTGTATCACACAAGAGAGGGACAGCTCTGGGCTACGTTCTGAATGAATTTCTTCGTTCGTTTGATTGCTTGGAAGAAATGATATTGTAGGGGTGTTATTGCTGTCAGCCCAACACCCAATATTGTTGGATGTTATTGCTATCAGCCCAACACCCAATATTGCTGGGTGTTATAGCTATCAGCCCAACACCCAATATTGTTGGGGTGTTATTGTTATCAGCCCAACGCCCAATATTGCTGGGGTGTTATTGTTATCAGCCCAACACCCAATATTGTTGGGTGTTATTGCTGTCAGTTTAACACCCAATATTGTTGGGGTGTTATTTTTGTCAGCCCAGCACCCAATATTGCTGGGTGTTTTTGCTATCAGCCTAACTCAGAGTTGTGAGGCTAGAGTTGTAAGTCCCTTGACAACTTTGTCTGACGCACGTAGCTCACAGCACATCCGAAAGAGAAGGTAGCTAATGGACATTGCTATTCAATTCACGAATTGTTTTAGATGCATAATTAATAGAAGAAAAGTTTTAAATTTTAGCTATTAATTCTGACAGGATATGAGTAATAATTTTGTGTTACCTATACAGACTGCAGTACGCGTAATTGCAAGACTCGAATCCAAGAGTATGGTTTAAGTTGAAAATTTCGACTTGAAACGGGTCAAGTAATTTAATGGTATTTAAAAATTGACGAGGTAATTTTTAAGTCTCGAAAATGGCATTGATCTATTAACGAGCTGACTGCTGATTCTCTATTCGTACTTGATATTAGAGCGCACTACTATCTGCAATAAACTATCCTGAAAATTAACTTGCTGTATAAAAATGAAAGAAATATTTCTTAATTCTGACTGACTGCCAGCCACTTTTTCCGCATTAAACCAAATCAGTTGATTGCCGAGTTAAATTCCTTGTATATTATTAACGTTGAACACATCGCCCTAAGCACATCTCTCGACAGGTACTTTAGCTTGGAAGCTAAACTTTTTTCAATGTAAAAACACTAACAATCTCATTATATGAAGCTACTGGGGTATCGTGTAACCAACCAAAAAACTCGATAAATTTTTCTTATGGATGTATGATTTTCTAAATTTTCTGTTTGATTTGGAACGCTATCTGTGGTGCTGAAGAACTGGATTAGTTTGGACAACTCACAGTAGTGCTTTCCAATCCACTACTCTTGGGCTTCTGCCGGCCTCGTTATTTTAACCTCATTCTTGTTGCCATTCTCCTGACGACTAATAAAGTTACTTTTTTTCTCGGAATATAATATTGTTAGCTCAGCCATAATGTGACTTCATGCGAAGCTCGTCGTGAAAAGCTGACAAGAACAACTTGTGAATCAAAAGTGTCCTGGCTCTCAAACATCAATTTCTTGCCATGTGAGGCCCTCTAACGAATAAAGGTTTAGAATCTCTGAACTAGAGATTATTGAGGTGTGCATTGAAAATTGATTACATATTCCGCTGATCTCATTCCTAGGTCTTAGTCATTTCCATTAGTGGCAAACCAATTTTTTTCGGTATATTTTGAATTAGGTATTAATCCCTTGAGGTTGGCAAAGTTCTTTCATGCCAAGAAGTTGGTCTTTGGTCATTCACAATTTGAGAATCGACTCGTTTACTAGTTGATTCAGAAGGACTGAGGTCAGGAAAACTAGAACTGTCCTAAGGTCAGGAAAACAGAAGAGCAGAGATTGAAGAAGAGCAGAAGATTGTTTTAGAAGAGCAGAGATTGTTTTTCCTATTCTTGATCTCTTAAGTCTTCTGTAACTGGATAGTTGATGTCCCTATGGTAGTCTTAATTCTTAATAAAAGTGCTATTTATTCTTATGTTTTGTTGAAACCTTTATGTTATTACCGTACTGATCGTGCCGATGAAAGGTGTTGTATACCACGAATATATCGGTAAAAAATATTCGTTGGGTGTCGTTAAACGTTCAGCTTGCAATAAAAAAAAAAAACAATTTAGAGTATTGCCCATTTGAGAATATTAATCGAATGATCTTGTCGATATACCATTTTAGTAATTATTGATTAAAATCCTAATTAATGAACAAAATGCTAATTAAAATATCGAAAAATATTGTAAAAAATACTTCACACATTTAAGGTGTGGAGGAACTGGAGATAGTGGAGTTTATGTATAACGACAATTTCGTGAAAATTGTCAAAAAACGTGAGGGATATTTAAAAGATAACCACTTTATTCACTTTTTAATGAATGAATAATTCAAAGTTGATAAGTGTATGAAATGCGGTAAGGGATCAGAGCTCAGCCGTCGACCTGTCGCGTTTCAATGGAAATGAAGTCGATAGCCACGGCGTTGGTGATGCCGCTGCCGAGGTCTGCTTCAATCACCAGCTGAATATTACATTATATTATATATTATTATGATATATATTATATATTGTATTATATTCATGTGAATATTGAGGGAAAAATAATTGTTTATTGCTGGCACACTTGTTATTTATTTGAGATCATAAGTTTATGGGGAACAAACTGAATATATAACAATGATTAAGTTAAGGAAATCCATTATATATCAAATTTATAACAATAAATAATATAATAAATGAATTTAAAAGTTGGTGAAAAAAATTCAAGTAGCTTTCTGTTTTCAATATTACAATTATGTACTTGCAATCATTTAAAATATATTCATAATTAGTGGGAAAGCCTTAATGATTTCATAATACACATTGTCTTTAACGCTGCCAGAAAGTTTTAATTTACGCATTGTTCAACCATTGAGATGTTGAAGGTTATTCCAGAACACAAGGTTGATAGATACAGTAATAATTATACAGACAGGGAGCACCCTACACGTTAGTTATGTCCATGGTTGAACTATATAAGGTTGACCCACGAGGATTTCCGTCCTTTCAGTTCAGCTTTCTTGTTACGTCACTGAGATCGAGAAACTTACTGTTAAACGTTGACAGATTGGTTGACTGGTTTGATCGCATTTTGGTGAATGGTCAATGCCTGTGACGTCACTGATATCAGTGACGTCACAGGCGAACAACAAACTACATTCGCAAAAATGAGCTTCTTATGGGTCAATCTTATACTAATTCAACAATGGCAGTATCATTCACCTGGAAATATTCCTCTATCCCGTCAAGGGGAATGCGGTAGTCGGATTCAAGCTCCGTCCAGTCTTGGTTGTTTACGTCGCCGAACATGCTGAGGTCGAGGAATGGCAGGTAGTCGTAAACACCGTCGGGAGTCTTACGTCGCACCCTGGAGACGAAGTTATATGAACTGTCGGGCTCATGTCACGTAGGATTATGTCAACCCTGACGAATAAGGTCAGGGTTGGACTTACGGTGACACTATGAAAAATCAAAATTATCCCTTTTTTGAGGTAGGATTATTTCAATGTCTAGTGGGACAAAGTGAGACCAAAACTGGCCCCTTGTGACGTAGAGTTATTTTTACCTGGCATCATGTGGCACTAAATGACACTTGCCCCTTGTGGCGAAATGTCATTTCAACCTTGACGATTAATGGCACTCACCCGGCCGCTTGTGACGAAGGAAATGAGTATTTTAGCCTGATATAGATTGGCGAAAACTTGTCAATCATCACATCTTCTAACTGATAATTACGTCAGACTTGGCAGTGAAGAGTAAGGCAATGCGCATCACCATCAATTTCTATTATTTGCTTTCTGTCGAGATGGGACATTGTTAACTCCACTACAATGGATAATTTTACCATTTGTAGTGGCGGAGTATGTAATTTTGTGGTGACAGGAGATTATATTAATCTTAGTGACAGAGTCTTTTGGAAACATTGAATCGTTTTAGCAGAAAAATACGAAATCCCTGAATACTGAAAATGTCAGGTGTCTCGCTATTCAGGTGATATAACAGCAAAAGATAGAATACACTAGTGATTTAATTCAGATTTATTGTTTACTGTACGCTGCAGAGATGGATTATTAAGGTGAGCGTCTGGGTCAAAATCGAAAACTTTGACTTTTTTGGTTTTTATACTCATCTTAAAGCTTACATTCTAACGCATCTAACGGTACCAAAACCATCTCTGTACGTTGATTTATGCGTTCACGACAGATCGCGAAAGGGTTAGGGGTGGTGGAGTTCCTTAACATTTAATATAGGCCTAAATTACCGGTAGCACATTTAAATAGCTAGTCTGAACACGCTGTGCTTCAGTTATCCGCCTGCAGTCATATGGGATGGTTCTCGTGTCGTCGTTTATGATATGCGTCTCAATGTTGTAGCTTCGAAATCCTAGGAGGAGATAGTTTTCTACGGTACCCCCTTTTTTCCGTTTTCTAAGAATTTCACGTTTTCTTTCATTTTTTTCGAAAAATTCACACGAACAAAAAAGTCTTAGAATTCTGTTTTACATACGAGTACCAAGTTTCAAAACGATCCGTCTGTAAACGAAAAAGTTTTTTCAGCACCCAGACGCTCCCCTTAAGAAACGCGTAGTTCGCATCAACAGGCCATGGTCCTATTTCTTCAACGCCGACACTTCTATTCTATTCTATTCTATCTCAAGAATCACGTGAGCGAGACTAATGCTCGTACGGGAATTGGCTTGTAAGGCTTTAGTTCAGGCACTAGATCAAGCACGTCACCCTGGACTTAATTAGGATTCTGTACCATTTTTTATTTCAGATTTGTAAGTAAATACATTCAGGTGTGTCAAATTTTCTTTCTGTGATTTTGGTTAGAAATTTTGGAAGGTTTAACAGATTTCTCGTTGGCTGACGATGTGCGGAGCGTGGAAGTCTGTTTGGTGCGGTTATGCTGCTCTCGCCTCAAGATCGTAGGTTCTACCGATAACTCTGTCCTGAACCTGAGTAAAGAGTTTTACTGTTCCCTGTGCTACGTTTTTCTGAACAATAAAAACGGACGACCCCACAATAATTGTTACATCGTACCGGCAAAAACAACGATTGTATGCACGGCATTGCTTATGAATCAGCACTAATAGTAGCGGGCTACGCTAAACGACAGGTTTATTACTGCGCTATAGACTAGGAAGGACGTGTTTTTCGTGTAAGGAATTCAGAACCTGCTTATTTCTGTACAAAAAATGTATTTCTGGCCTTCAGCAGCCACCGCGATCAAATGTGAGTCGTATTATGAAGTCACGAAATCAGGATTTCTCTCTCAGGAGTGAGACGCATGGTAGGTTACTGACTACCTCGAGACCTTAGCTATTCACCCCGTATTGAGCCTTATGCTAGGTTACTGACTACCTCGAAAACTCCCCTATTCACCCTGAAGTGAGCCGTATGTTAGGTTACTGACTACCTCGAGAACTCACCTATTCACCCTGAAGTGAGCCTTAATGCTAAGTTACTGACTACCTCGAAATCTTACCTAATCACCCTGAAGTGAGCCGTATGTTAGGTTACTGACTACTTCGAGAACTTACCTATTCATCCTGAAATCAGCCATATGATAGGTTACTGACTACTTCGAGTCCTTACCTATTCACCCTGAAGTCAGCCGTATGTTATGTTACTGACTACCTCGATAACTTACCTATTCATCCTGAAGTGAGCCTTATGTTAGGTTACAGACTACCTCGAGACCTTAGCTATTCACCCTGAAGCGAACCTTATGCCAGGTTACTGACTACCTCGAGAACTCCCCTATTCGCCCTGAAGTGAGCCTTATATGCTAGGTTATTGACTACCTCGAAATCTTACCTATTCACCCTGAAGTGAGCCGTATGTTAGGTTACTGACTACTTCGAGAACTTTCCTATTCACCATGAAGTGAGCCGTGTGTTAGGTTACTGACTACCTCGAGACCTTACCTATTCACCCTGAAGTGAGCCTTATGTTAGCCTAGGTTACTGACTACTTCGAGAACTTACTCACCCTGAAGTGATCCTTATGATAGGTTACTGACCTAACTCTTGAACTCCTTTATTCGCCATTAAGTGTGCCGTATGTTATAGGTTCCTGACTACTTCGAAAACTTACCTACTCACCCTAAAGAGAGCCTTATGATAGGTTACCGACTACCTCTAGAATTCCCCCTATTCACCATGAAGTGTGCCGTATGTTAAATGTTCCTGACTACCTCGAGAACTCACCTCTTCACCCTAAAGTGAGCCTTATGATAGGTTACTGACTACCTCGAGAACTCCCCTATTCACCCTGAAGTGAGTCTTATTGTAGGTAACAACCGTTATCGAGAACTTACCTAAGAGACGAAGGATAAGACTGGCTGCCGCGCATCCAGAACCTGATGTTGAGATGCTTGCTGGTGCCAGGTGCCAGGGAGATCATGGGTGAATCGATGCTCACCACACCTACGTAATCGAATGAAAGTGTTATTATTATTGAATATTTTACCTCGTAGGAAGGGCCAAGAATGCGACATATTTTTTGTGATTTTCTCGAAATATACGCACCTTATAGTAATAATTCCTATGTTGTGCCTAACAATATTCCTCATTGGCCATCAGCTGGTTGTCATTTTTCCTAGGAGAATTTTACATAATAATTTAGCTGCACTCAATACGGTTGATTTAGACCTAAATTATGACTAAATATATAGATTTATTTAGATTTAAGTTATTTGTTGATCTGAGATTTAAATTAGGCATACAAAGCTTCGCTTAGGAGACACTGACCGCTATGCACGTCGAACCTGTCTACCCTGAGGACGTTGTTGCCGGAGCTGGGAGGAGGCATGTTGTAGTCTCCGTCGATGTCCAGGTAGTTCTCAACCACCCACTTGCCACCGTCAGCGTTGCCCACCGTCCACCCTAATCAATATAACAATCATCATCAATAATGTTCACAAATTAAAATATTGTTCACAAAGACAAAAAAGTTCATCTTAAGATCTTTCAATAGAAATTTCGCAAAAATTATAAAAAAACTAAAATTATATTTTAGTTTTTTAGTTGATGGTTTGAAGAATCTTGATGTGAGCATCAGGAGTAGGAATACATTTTTGTTTCTTTGCTTATATACTCCTTGGATAATTTAAGTGTTTACATTCTTTTTTGATGATAGAATTTTGTCGTATTAAGCTCAATATTTCTGACTATACTAAAACCATGCGAAGAATACCTCATTTAAAGGATGAGCTATAAGAAATATATATATATTTTTTGTTATCGTAAACTTTAGCGTTTATGATTGTTCAAGATAAATTTCTTTTATAATAGTCGTGCGATCGATTTTTTACGTTGATAATGATGGCCACGGCCTACTGAACCAAATATCCCTATAACGTTTGAATTCATTGCTAATCAAGCAACATTTAAATATTCGAGTGTATTAAATTCTAACAGATGGGCATTAATTTCACCTTGGGACGTTTAATGTTTTTGGCTGTTAAAATGCAAAGAATTGTTAGGAATAGTGAAGTGACTTAGAGAAACTGGTTTTACACAATTGCAATCTAGACATTTTTTGTCGGAGAATGAACTTTGATATAATACATGCGAATAAATAATCAAAATTCTAACGGCAGCAAAGAACCAATTGCCATTTGTAATAAATTGAGAAAAATTTGAAATAATGAAAAACGCCCAGGAATTAGTCAAAATTTGCTTTTGATTGGATTATATTATTAGGTAAATTTATCACGTAGACTTAAACACATGCCTGAAAAAAATTCGGTCGTGTGCAATAAATCCAAATAAATTCGAGTCAATACAGGCAAATCCTATCAGAAATGAACAGACTGCTATAGTCAGTGAAGTGCATAGTTTCTTTACGAAGAACAGGGGTAACGTAAAAAAATCATATCATAATTATCACTTCTATGCAACAGTCGAAATATAATTATTATTATCACATGAAATCATTATTCTTGCCTGGTAATCCATTAGAGAAGTCGAAGAATTCCTGCTCAGGCGTTGGGTACGGGATGGCTCCGGTGATCACTATTTTGGAAACCGCCACTTGGTTCACTAAGTTGTCCATGCCCACCGAGCCTTCTGCTCAAAACGAAGAGTTCCATAAATATTAAGAAAAGTTTTGTAATTGATTTCAACTTAATGGCAAAGATTGCTATATATTTTATTACTATTTCATGAAATGTAACACCAGTATTTCTATTATACCCATGTAATACCAATATTAATATTTCAGCTCACCACAATAAAAAGCTCACTCCTGAAAAAGAAAACTTGTATTTTCTAATAAATAATAATGAATAAGTAATAGTGAATCTCAAAAATGCAATGAAGGGTTCCCCATGAATGACTAAAAACCCTTCTAAAACCCAATGACCATTAAACTCTCACTGAAACTATACCCATGACGAAAAGCTCACTGTAAACTAAGAAAGGGTCGTCAAAAACAGCTGACTCCCCGAGACCTAAAAAATATAACTCCATCCTTACTGCAGTGAGTGACAGAGAGCGCATTTTTCTGTCGACGAAAACGTGAAGTCACGGACGGCCAGACGGACAGATAGACGGACATGACGAGCACAATAGCGCCTTTTTTCCATAAATGAGAAAATGCACTAAAAAGAAACAGCGACAACGATGAAGAACTCACCAAGAACAATGTAGAACTCACCTAGAACAATGTAGAACTCACCAAGAACAATGTAGAACTCGCCAAGAACAATGTAGAACTCACCTAGAACAATGAATAACTCACCAAGAACAATGTAGAACTCACCTAGAACAATGAATAACTCACCAAGAACAATGTAGAACTCACCAAGAACAATGTAGAACTCACCTAGAACAATGAATAACTCATCAAGAACAATGTAGAACTCACCAAGAACAATGTAGAACCCACCAAGAACAATGTATAACTCACCAAGAACAATGTAGAACTCACCAAGAACAATGAATAACTCACCAATAACAATGTAGAACTCTCCAAGAACAATGTAGAACTCACTAAGAACAATATAGAACTCACCAAGAACAATGTAGAACTCATCCCCAGGGGCAATGCCTCTGAATACGCCCCCGTGGTTGATCCACTTCTGGTTGTTCTGTTCGCCGAAGCCGTCAAGTGACAGCGCGGGCTCGTCATCGAATGTCCTGCATAAAGCTTTATATCCTAATAAAACTTTCCAGTTAAATTATTATAGTTGAATGAATAAATTAATAAGAAAACGAGCTAAATAAATGAATAGAATAAAATAAATGAATAAAATGAAATAAATGAATAAAAGGAAACACATGAATAAAATAAAATGAATGAATAAAATGTATGAATAAATTTAATACAGAAATAAAGTGAATTTAAAATTATAAAAATTATAACTATTATAGCGTCTGCTCTATATATGGTCACGCATTATCTAAGTAAATTATAACGAGCCAAGCTATATAAAACTGAAATTTAAACTCAAAGAAGCCCCTCGCTACCTATTTACCGAGCCTCACCATCAAAACTAGTTTATTTCTTAGTTAAAATAGATATTTTTACCAGAATCATGCATGGCTGCTCGGATATTAAGAATGTGTTGGAGTTCGCAGTATTCCAAAGTAGATATTAATATGTGTGGCCTCATCCAACGTCCTCGTTCAAACAGACTTATTATTGTTTAAAAATTTTAATTTAATTTGCAGTCTTATCAGTTTCAGAGTTAAAAAGAAACTTCGAAGTTATAATTTTAAACATATTTTTCAATCAAGATAATTGATTTTTCAATTGATTTTAAAACTTTTTCAATTAAAAATTTCGAAAATTGGTGATTTCAAAATTATTTCAATTAAATTTCGTTATTTTTAACTTTTAGTTTAATTGTCTCTCAGTTAAAAATTGTTTTAATCTAACTTTCGTCCATATTGAAACTCCTCATGATTATGCAATTTCAAAGTATAATTCGGAGATATTATCTCGATGAGATAAATACCGTGTATACGCGATCGATAAGCCTCTACATATTTCCAACGCCAGTCTAAAAAAATAAATATATATTAAAATTAATATAATAATCGCCAAAAACATAACTCATTCAGATATAAAAATAGATAGAAAGGAATAAAAAATAAATGGATTCGACTAAAAATGAATTTTTGGCAACGATATACCAAGATTATTTGTTGTATGTCATCGAAAGCTTCCTTCAACAAAAATTTTTCAATTTTCTTGGAATTTATTTACATATAAAATTTTGGGTAATCATACACTGAGGCAATTGCTTAACCTCTATATCAATATGGAGACTCTATATTAATATAATATATTAATATTATATCAATATAACAATAATTCGAGGCTGTTTCTCTGCCTTTTCGTGTATGTGCACATTATTCATAAAATTTTTATAACGAGCTCTTTATTTCACAAACAATATGATGTAATTATTACTTACGTGTACGAAGTTGCACGCCGTAACTTCAGGAAGGCTGGATAATCCCTGGAGCCTTTCATGAAGAAATTGATTGCTATGTAAACCTCGCCTGTTGTGGTGGCCAGCATGCGGGGACTGGTGGCCATCACAGTGCCTGGCGATCAAGAATGTGGGAATTTTGTTAGTGTTGAAAAATGCGCATAGATATATGCATGAAAAATTCTACGGTGTCTCCAAATACTATCTTTGTTAAGAATCAAATTTAGACAAGCGCATGAAGAAATGATGCGGTGTCTACAAATACTATCTTTGTTAAGAATCAAATTTAGACAAGCGCATGAATAAATGCTACGGTGTCTCCAAATACTATCAATATTTACAATCAAATGTACATCTTCACTACTAAATGCTATGTCGTTTTCAGATACTACCACGCAGTGCGGATAAAAAAAGTGGATAAGTGTATGAAGAAATGTTACGTCTTCTTCAGGTCTTACTTACCAGTGTTCATTATAATCAAAGATAGATAAGTGAAAAAATGCTACGTCGTCTTCAGCTACTTTAGCATTGCAGTGATAATCAAATACAGATAAATTCATGACGAATTCAATGTTGTCTTCAAAAGTAATATCACTGTTGATAATCAAGAGCAGACAAACGCATGAACAAATGCAACGTTATCTTCAATTACATCAAATTTTTATACACTATGGTAGAAAAGTGCAAGATGATTTATTGCGTTTAATTCAAGTGAATGCTTTAGCTCATCTAATCATGTACCGTTAAATTATCACTCATTGAAACACCCACTGAAAGATACTTGGCTACGCAATTAATTTTGGCGATTTTTAGCGCATTTTCTCATTTATGAAAAAATGCACTATTGTGCTCGCCAGGTCCGTCTGTCTGTCCGTCTGTCTGTCTGTCCGTCCGTGACTTCACGTTTTCGTCGACGAGAAAATGTGCTCTCTGTCACTCACTGCAGTGAGTGACATGTTATTTATTATTTTTTTTTTATTATTTATTATTTATTTTTATTTTTTAGTTATTTTATTAGTTATTTTTTTTCTAACTGATACAATAATCTCACTGGAGACGACATCGTTGGTGAAGAGGAAAAGTATACGGGAGTTGTTTGTTGGTGCCACGGCCGCGTTAGAGGCGCTCACACGGCGCCAAGCGGCACCGTTGCTGCGGCCAAGCGTCCAGCCGCATGTGTTGTTCTCGAAGTTGAAAACAACCTCCGGACTGAAAAATCACCGAAAATATTATGAATGAGAATGTTAATGTACATTATTATAACAAACAGTGGGACGCAACAGTATTCCTCTTCTACCAGACTGAAATAAAGATGAAGTATAATTTTGCAAAATTAAGAAAAATTATGGCACATCCTGAGGCAGAGAAAACATCAGCGTCTATTTTTACGAAATTCAGGCTTATTTTAAAACAGTGGTAATGAAGTTTATAGTGATCACGTGCCACATTCTCCTAGTGTCTACATTATTCACCACCAGCTTTCTAATCGTACATCTAGTATTGCATGTTAGATCATATTGTATTATGTGCTGCATTTTACCTTACATGATCCTCTAATTATAATTAGAGCATCGAGTAAGTTTACTCTTTGCAATTATCGGTTGGTTGCTGGGACAAGGCATGTGCAGTGCGACGACAGTTGTAAATCGTTGCCACATAATCAATTTTTGCTCACTATCAAACTTAAGTGTAACGCAACCCCGAAGTTCGATCTAAACAGACACAACTACAATCGCTTCTTTGAATAATAAAAAGTACAATGATGATGATAATAATTATAATAA